ACCCTGCTTGCTAACTCGATCACTCACCCGAACCAATCGGCCTTCATCCAAGGCCGGTTTATTTTGGATGGCGTGTTGGTCTTCCATCAAGTCCTTCACGAAGTTCGGGTGAAACAACATCGCGCTGTCTTCCTGAAGCTGGACTTTCATAAAGCTTATGACACTGTGCACTGGCCTTTCCTTCGGGAAGTGCTGCTGCATAAGGGCTTTGACGACCGCTGGGTGACTCGCGTGATGCAATTAGTCTCCTGTGGGCGGACTGCGGTGAACATCAACGGCGAGATTGGGCCATACTTCCCCACTCTATGTGGGGTGCGTCAGGGGGACCCGTTCTCGCCGTTCCTGTTCAACATGGTGGTCGATGCTCTGGCCGCCATCCTGGACAAAGCCAAGGGTGCCGGCCATATTCACGGCATTGTCCCCCACCTAGTCGGAGGGGGAGGAGTCTCCCTCCTTCAATACGTGGATGACACCATAATAATGGTTGAAGGTTCTACTCAGGACGTGGCTAACCTGAAGTTCCTCCTCCTGTGCTTCCAACAGATGTCGGGCCTAACGATCAACTTCGATAAGAGCGAAGTGATGGTTCTTGGTTACCCTCCGGCGGAAGCTCAGGCTATCGCTGACCGACTTAACTGTCGGCTGGGTTCTTTCCCCACGACCTACCTGGGGATCCCCATTAGTGATTCGCGCCTCACCGTGGCGGACCTCCGCCCCACGGTGACCCGTATGCAACATCGCGTCGAGCCTTGGAAAGGGCGCTGGCTATCGAAGGCTGCGCGTGTGATTCTCATCAACTCCTCTCTCGCCAGCCTTCTTTGGTACCTCGTGAGCTTTTATAGCCTCCATGAAACGCTGCACACGGAAATTGCCAAGTACCAATCCAGGTTCTACTGGGCTGGCGAGGATGACAGACAGAAGTACCATATGGTCAGTTGGCCGGACATATGTAAACCCAAGGACCAGGGGGGTCTGGGGATTTTGTCCTCCCGGCGCATGAACATCGCCCTCCTGACCCGGTGGCTATGGCGTATTGCTAATGGTGACGGAGGGCTTTGGCTCACCATCATCCGGAACAAGTACCTCCGTGGACAGCCTCTGGCTTTCTGTCAGCGTTCGGGCGGATCCCAGTTTTGGCAGGCCGTCATTCAGCTGCTCCCTGTGCTTCGCATTGGCACGTCCATCTCGGTTGGGTCTGGGTCCGCGACCCTGTTCTGGTTTGATCGGTGGATCGGCGACACCCCTCTGGCCGCCCGCTTTCCCGAGCTCTTCGCCATTGCTGTTGACCTGCGGGTCTCTGTTGAGACGGCCCTTATTGACTTAGGGCGCTTCGCGTTTCGCCGCCCTTTTGGCCCGCCCGAAGTGGCCGCCTGGGATGCCCTCCTCGAGGACATTGCCCTTCTCCCGATGAACGTCACCGACACCCCGGACGCCATCTCTTGGCGCCTAGAATCTTCCGGACGCTTCTCTACTAAGTCCCTATACGCGGCCATCGCGCCTTCGCCCGCCCCCGAGCCCTTCAGTTTGGTCTGGGATATCCGCCTGCCACTGAAGATTAGGATCTTCCTTTGGCGATGGATCCGTGGACGCCTCCCCTCCGGAGTCGAAGTCCTCAAGCGTAACGGACCTGGAGATGGGCTTTGCCCCCTGTGCGGCACGGTGGAGGACGCTAACCACATCTTCTTCGCGTGCTCCACGGCCCAGTTTCTTTGGTCCAGTTTCCGCGAGACGGTTGGTGGACAGTGGTGCAATTCCAATTTCCCCGACCTTCTCGCAGAGATCCATGCCTCCCCCCTCGCTACCGACATATCCGTTGGCTCTGCGTAGGGGTCCTCGCCTGGACGCTGTGGACTGTCCGCAATAAGCTTGTCATCCAAAAGGTCACTCTCAGACATGCTACTGACTCCATTTTAAAAATGTGTGGGTACCTGCAGCTTTGGCGGCCGCTTAGCCGCCCTCAGGATCGGGACGTCATCAACACCCTCCTCG